ATCAACCAGGGTTGCAACCGGCCAACTTTTCTCCTGGTTTAGTACATTTTTGCTCTATTTCATAAAGTATAGATTCTTTCGCTGATGCTGTCTATGACAGTACAGAAGAAAGCTTAGCATAGCTTCGTCGGGGCCATCGACTTCTTGGCACAATTCAACAATGTTGCCTACGCGACAATCCTCCTTCGTTGTGACCACACGAGAATTCCGTCCTGCCAACTTTCCCTTCGAAACGGAGCGTCACGTCACAATGAACAGGAAAAGTCAGATCGAAGTGCGAAAAGCCTCAAATGAGGCTTGCAACAGATGTCTCTAGATTAGACCCGACGAAGGGCTTGTCTGGGAAAGAAAAGAGGAAATGCACAAGTGATCCGATGCTGTGGACAACGAAACCGGCGCCGATAAGCGCCGACCTGCAGACATGGACATTGCACAGGACGAACTAGGAGGGCAAGAAACGCAGGCGACGCAAAACATGCAGAGGGGACGCGAGCGAGCATAGGACATACAAGTATAAATATAATAAATTCGGACCAGATAGATAGCCGGATAGAGGAGAGAGAGAAAGAAAGAGATAGAGAGAGAGAGGGAGAAAAGGGAGGAAGAGAGAATATACATGTGTGCGTCTGATGGAAGGGATAGGTAGGCAGAGAGAATGATAGTCAGTGAAGCTATAATTGACATGGGCCGGTCTTCGGTCCAAAGCATAATGCAACGAAGAGTGGAGAAGCTGGCTTACCGAAAAAAGGCGCGTCAGATGCCTGCACCAAAACGGCGCAGACGACCAGACCGGCAGGCCAGTGGCTACGACGTCTCAAGTCAGGCGGCAGGGCCGGCCAGCCGGACTAGTCGAGGAGGCCGTAGGGCTGAGTCACCGCAACGCGGCTGTGCCAGGCAGGGAGCGTGCACGAGGACGGACCGTGCGAAGCCTGCAAACGACTGACGGACCGACTGGCCGCCTGACTGCCTGCAAGAAAGGCGGGACTAAGCCAACCGTCTATCGACCGGTTGCCCGGCCCGCTATGCAGTTCGTCCAATCAACTGACGGCATGCTGTGCTCTGATTGGAGGAAAGTGGCTAAATGAGGTGACATAGCAAAGGCTGCACTCTAATTGGCTACAACATTCAACCAATAGGCAAACGGTATAAATCGATCGGGTTGGCAGTCTTATGCTCTTGCCTGCCCTGCGCGTCGCTCTTCGCTGACGTCTTCTGCGTCTCTCCTGCTTCTGTTGCACCAATTTCTGAAAACTGACGCCTTCGCCACTTGTTCACAGCATTCAACGTTTCCATCCCTCCTCCACCTCACGTGGAGACGCCAGGCGCAAACCTTGCTGGTTCTCGTCTCAGCCCTCCTTATTCCCGGTCCGAGGGTTATTCCAGTCTCATAATCGGGCCCCGGCGTGCTTGGCCTAACGACGCAATCGTGCCGAAATCACAAAAATACCGACTGCTACTGGGTCCGAAGCAGCCTTCGCTACACATCCTCCTTAGCTTAATTTGGCAATGGGACTTCGATGAGTCCGTCGCGAGACGGTCCGATCGAAATGGGAAGACTCGTCTCCCCACTGGGCTCATAGGCTGGGCTGCTCGTACTCGCTTGCTCACCGACACGGCCATCACTGTTGGGTAGCTTCACTGGTGGACCTGTCTTCATCTCCTTTCCCATGAGGTCATCATCCTTGCTCGGTCTCAGCCCGCGTATTCTTCAATATAGTCTTATCGATCGGACCGAGGCGAGACCACGATCAATTCGGATGAAGATCAACTGATGGGAGGCTGAATCAGGAAACCTCCGTTGTACAAGGATTATACGAAA